AGACCAGTTGGATTGATGTACGATTTGGTTTGCTGTCAGTAACTTAAACTGTCGTTTAAAATTATTTTATCATCTTATTTCGATCATTCTGAAAATATTTGGTATCAAACAGAATTTGTCACGTTCGTGTGTTTCATTGTCAGTCTATACTTGTAGCTAGACTGTGGATTTTTATGTAAGTTTATGTCTTTGTCTGTGAATATTGTGACAAATTATAGAACCTCGGTGAACAGTCGTTTTTTTACGTATCACATATTACAGAAATTAGATATTTATCAATATTATGTATTATTTATCAAGTATTATTTATTACACACATTAGTACAAGGTGAAAAGGAAAGTATGTTCGTGGCTATCATAAATGTATTCTACACCTTCGATTTGCTAGAAGTACATATATGTAAAGCACCTGTTTGAATTTCAGGGTCAGAATTTTATTCTACTCATCACGAAGGTAAAACTTTTCTCAGATCGTAAACTAAGTACTTTTGAATAATGTCAAAAAAAATTTCTTAATCATTTAACACTGCGTTCTAACAACGACTTTATGATTCTGGACACGTGGATGTCTATTTATAATAATTTTGACCTATTGTTTATGTTTTGAATAACGATAACAGTTTTATCATTTGTTTATTTAGACTTACACAGATGCTGCAACTATGAAAAATCAAATGCTAGTGAAACCTAGTACGAAAATTACGTAAAATAAATATGCAAACCATAAAGTCGTTGTTAGAACCCACGCAGTGTCAAGTGATTAAGGAACTTTTTTGCTATTTTTCATCAGAACTATTTGGTTACGAGCTTGGAAAAGTTTTATCCTTTTGATGAATACAATGCAAACAAAAAACAAAAAATAGTTGATCTTGAAGTTCAAGGTCAATAGTGTAAGTAATCGAAAGTGTAGAATTCATCAGTTTTTCTTTGCAGCCTGTGTATACACGAATGGTAAACTAGAAGTTTCACGGTTTAAAATGATGGCCAACTGAATTGTTGTACGACCTCGTCTCTCAAAGTTCGAACGATTCGAAGCTTCGTTAAAAATAAAAATTGTCGGTATACTTGTTTTTCTTACATAAAAATGTAAGAGTGTCGAATGAGGTGGCATGTTAAAGTGGAATCTATTTCCATAAATAATGTGTCGCACCTGCAATAATTTTCAGTGATAAATTAAAAAAAAAAAGAAAAAAGAATTTGAGATACAGAATTTAGAATGTGGAGTAAAGATACATAATAAAGATTGTATTGAAGATATAGAGCGATAAATAAAAGTTAATTCTCACTCTCGAAGATCAAGTTTAAATTTACACAATTTATCGCAAGATGTACTTGAATTTCTAATTCTCGACATAACGGAGAAATTTCTCGTTTCTTTGGGTGTTTAAAGTTATCAGAAATCGAAAATAATCAAAATTATTGAAGAAAGCTGTTGAATTATGAACCGAGATTGCCTAACAGATTAATATATTTCGTAACTACTTCGTAACAGATGAGTTTATTCGGCTAACACATTGTAACGTGTGATTCACTCCTTGAATTTCTAACAAGTAAACTAATCGTTTTATCATTTGTCGCAAAGTTGTTTGCTGTATTTTATTTTTGTTAATTAAAACGTATGTGTAATGTATGCGTGCACAGTAACTCAAGAGCTAATAAAATTTGTAAATTAATGCAAATGCAAAGCTTCACGCGAATAATAAATAAATAAATTCACGTGTACCGTTGAAAAGTTGAATATTATGACTTTGGTAGACTACCGTTTACAATATTCCTTGACTTTGAAACAGTCACTTTTTTTTATTGATAAGAACAAGTAAATAACAAAGTTAAAATTCGAAATTGACATCAATCGCTAGTTAAATAAAACCCAGAAACTAATTATTAACTAAATATTAACTATTAACTAAATATTAATTATTTAAGTTAATATTAATTATTCACTAAATATTAACTATTTAAGTTAATATTATCTATTAACTAAATATTAACTATTTAAGTTAATATTAACTATTAACTGAATATTAACTATTTAAGTTAATATTAACTATTAACTGAATATTAACTATTTAAGTTAATATTAACTAAATATTAACTATTTAAGTTAATATTAACTATTAACTAAATATTAACTATTAACTAAATATTAACTATTTAAGTTAATATTAACTATTAACTAAATATTAACTATTTACGTTAATATTAACTATTAATTAAATATTAACTATTTAAGTTAATATTAACTATTAATTAAATATTAACTATTTAAGTTAATATTAACTATTAATTAAATATTAACTATTTAAGCTAATATTAACTATTAACTAAGTATTAAATATTAATTAAATTATTAACTAGTGAAGATTATAACATTATAAATACGTGAAATACGTGTGTCGATACTCGACTGCTATGATATTGCGACTTATGCTACAAATGATAATGGTTTCAGCCGTTCGCGATACGTGAAATGTAAAGCTTTTACGCTATATCATTATTATATATATTATATTCCAAATTCTGTATTTTAAAGCTTATAGCTTTGAAATTATAGGTTTTACGCTATATCATTATTATATATCTTTGTTATATTCCAAATTCTGTATTTTAAATTCCTTCTTTTCCTTGACTGCGCTCAACTCAACACTGCATTTACTTATATTTACTTATATTATTTATTCGATGTGAGTATCAAGGTGAATTTTTACGTTCGTGTTATCATTTGCACAAAGTGTACATGTGGTAAGCATCAGAGCGAAGTACAATCAATATATAGTGACACAAGATAACATCGTATCTATTTTGAAGCATGATGAAGGAACACTTGTCTGTCATCTTCTGAAAGTGTTCGCTCGTTTTCCTTTGAAATTCATACAGATGTTATCTACGTTCCATAAGTAGTTTGAAAAATATTTATTTTATATCACCGTGACAAAAAAACTATTTTACTGAGTTGCATAAGCGAATTATTATTAAATATAAACGTAAAATACTGCGCATATGTCATTCGTTGATAAAACGGGGAAAATAACACGTCTTACATTTTTATTGCGACTTTAATCTTCGAATGTAATTATTTCAATGAAATTTTAACGCTGCGGAATATATGAAATATCCTTCTATCCCAAATTCATGTTCCGAGTTTCAGAATCTGCGCAACTTTCGCTAATGAACAGCCTCGATAATCGACTTATGAAATTAACCGCGATAAATTACTCGATAAATTCATACCCCAAAAAAACATCCTCGCCTTCTTCTTGAATATTCGAAAATTTACAGACTTAGGCTTGTTCTTGTTCGGTGATATATGCGACATTTTATCGCTTTTTTTTTTCAGAAAGTTTCGAAAATACTAAATTACTCGACGATGGTCGAATGATTTAGATAAGGTAGGATATTTACATACCTCGTGCAATGTGAATTATAGCGTTCATGATCGATCTGCAGAGTTTACAAACGTTTCGTTCCGAGTGGAATTTATACAATACAGAAATCAGAAAATTTTTATATAAAATTTGACACAGTTTTTATACAAACTTTGACAATCGTCAATATTAAAAAAAAGAAAAAAGTTTTTAATCATCATAACAAGTATTGAACGCAATTCGATAAACAGTGCTATATCATCGATTTCAATTTAATATTAAATGAGATATTAATACTGATATTTCATTGTTACAATTAAGTTCATATTCCCAGTATGTTATTTGTCTATTTAATACCAGACGATTAGATTTATAGCGTTATTCACAATATTAAATAATTCGCAGTTCGAAACTTGAAATAAACGATTGGGAAGCTGATATCATGTTACTAAATACAAAACATTTTATTTATAAAGCAACATCTTTATTACTGAATTTTAAACTACACAAAATTCGCATCCTACTAATAACATTCCATCATTGAGCGTAGATTATGCTATTACAGGCATACCAATACCTTTTTGACTGTCGAATTTGTTTTTTCTTTATTGTGTAACTCTTGTCTAACACTATTTTACTAACAGATTTTGCTAATGAATCATTTTCTTCTGTAAAGGCATCGCGAGAAAACTAGGCATTTTTTATCCACTATGATTCTACAAAAAGTGGACACAATTACCGATATTTTGAACTGTTTATGCTTCGCAAAAGTTGTACCTCGTACAACAATTTAGTCATTTTAAATCGTGAAACCTCTACTTCGAAAACAAACTATTATTAATGTTGAAGTATTAATATTATTTCCTCGTTTACTTGTATCTCGTATTCAAATTTTTTCAAATTTTAATTATGCAGTATTATGCATTGGGTGCATATAACAAATAACATAAATTCTATTATTCGTTAAATTAAAAATTAAAAGTTATCCTCGCCTGTGGATGTTTCTATGTCCAACAGGTGATAAAGCAGAGAGCACTTGTATCGTCAGAGACTCTGAGAGTTCAAACAGCTCCGAAACTACTTGTTGAGTCGCGTCCGTTTACGGTTTGAACTGATTCAAACTTAATTTCATACAGACGCTTTGAAATGAAACGTTTCCCGTGGTTAGTGATTGATTCTAATTTGTAACTTTTTAGAAAGTGACTCTCATTGTGTGTCTGCGTATCTATCGCGTCTAACGTCTACCTGTGCCGTCTAATATCTGTCTTCCCGGTTGACAGTTTTATAGGCCTGTTTTATAAGACTTCGACTGGCGAATTCACCGTCAATCAGTTTGAATTTATTGGCCATTCGATTGCTCTGAAATCTTAGGTGAATTTATTGTAACGTTATTCGAATTTATTATCGTTACGGACGATTCGATTTTTGGAGATGCTAACTTAACCTAACATAACCTATACCGGAGGTAATAACATAACCAACCGTAGCGCATTTCATCTTTGGTGGCGTAGAGTAAATTATTTAGAGTAAGAGTAAGTAAATTGGACTAAGATATTATTATTTATTAAAGTCAATGTCCTTCTTACATGTTTACAAACACGTTTTTATTGTTAAAATAATTTAGTGGCGTATCGAGACTTACTTGAGACAAAATTGGCTCGTAAACTGCAAAAGTTTTTGGCTATCCCTGCGCTGAACCAAACAGACTTGTCGATCGGGAATGATAACAAAAGGTAATAACCGTGCTTGTCGTTGGGACTTCTTACCAGCATGAAAAAAATAGGCAAATACTCTCAGTCAAAAATATTTTGAATTATAGACAATAGATTCGTCGCGCTGATAAGAAGTCTAACGTCTTTGAACTTGGATCGACTCGGAAATTTCTATACGTTTTAATTGCGATTGTTATAATAATACTGCCACGCCATAATTCGATGAAAAATGCTTCGACCACGTTTATCGAAGCTATCTAAGCTTTCGAAAACTCTTTTTAAAAAATACTGAAAAAATTTTTTCACGACTGGATTTATCATAATCTCGAAGATCAAAGTCTTCTCTCTACGTCAGTCCTTTGAAACTTGCCGTGTGATTTTTTTCTCGCCATTTTGCTAAACCTTGAACATCGCAGTTAAAGGATAAATTTCCAGAAATCCCAGTGTTTTGCCATTTAACACTGATGTTTAATGAAATGTCTTATGTTGTAATGGTATGAAAAATATCGTATGTTGTAATGGTACAAACCCCTCTGGTGCTGAATAATTTTTTTGACATTTCCAAAGAATTTTCACTAGACCATTATCTACAAAGAATTAGAATTTTTTCTGCTTATTTTTTCTCTTTATGAAATATAAACAAAAAAACTTTTGTTGGTAAAGTAAAAGCTATCATAATGCTAAGAGTTAATAGTGAAGTTAATTGCTAGTAGAAAATTTCTGAAATAAAGCAGGGCATTAAATGAAAAATATTTAAATTATAAAGTATTTGAGCTTGTTTCTTCGAAATGTTATACATACATATGTATATATTGAAAAAAATTGCTTACAAAGTAAGAATAAATCTATCATAAATATTCGTATCGATACTGGTGATAAATTATTTGCTCGTTCGTTATTTACAGAGTGGTTATTTGGAAATTGTAAACGTTGTTCATCCTGTCGTGCATGGCACACAAATGTACTAAATACACTTTAAGTGTACTAAATACACTACAAGTGTACTAAATACAATACAATTGTACTAAATACATTATTTTTCTCAAAACTAGCTAAAAAATCTGTTGTGAAACTCCAATTTGTTGACCAAGATAAATTTTCGACCATAAATATTTTTATGATTGACATTAGATTGTTGTAAATGAAATCAGAATTTTGACATTTGCCAGCATCAATTTATAATTCACCAAATTAAATACTTGATCATTGAAGGGTAAAGTTATAATTACTACAATTAAAATCGATTTAGTTTATTTTATCTGTCTCTGTTTGTATTTTCTGATCAAAATTTTTCATTTTTAAATGACAGATTTCTCATTCTCTTAATTTGTATTGACATTGTGGACAAGTTTTGCAGAAGTGTGCACTCAAATTCATTGTTAGTTTGCTTTTTTATAATAAAACTGTCTTTGCAGAAAAATTGACAAGTATCAACAAAAATCAATATCCAATTGATTAATTAATATTGTTAACATATTAATAAATATCAAGTAAATATCATTGATACAATTATGTATTGATTGATCAATTTGCTATTTAGTAACATAAATTTTTAGTCACAAAATTCTGCAAAATAGGCAACAATTTAATATCTTCGCGTGAAATGATAGAAATTGCAAGAAAAACATTCAGCCTTGATTCCAAATCTAGTATGAAAAAAAGACATGACAGGAAAATCTAGAGTAAACAGTCGCGTTATCCATCTTTTCTCACAAAAAGAAAAATTCTAGGAAAGTATATAAGTAACTCGCGAAGGTATTTGAACACTTACGAACATATTACGCGCTTTGTATGAAATAAAACAACAATTTTGCAGCATCGTGGTTATATCGGACAAATTTGAAACGAATTTAAAAATGTATACAGATTATGATACTTTTTACACTTTTGCCCACGTTCTCATTTATATTTTGAAAATTGTGGCGGAATAACCGCAAATGTAAAATCACTCGAGTTCCAAAAAGTTGTAATTGAATTTTTGAAATGTGACTAGAAATTTTTCAATTTTTCAGTTAGATCGAAGATCTTATAATTGAACAATCCTACTTGAATTTTTCACTTTTTTTTTAAATTTATATTAATTAACATTAACCACAAGATACAGTCTGAAATCACGACAATTTTAAAATTTCATGCGAATTGTTCAACTTCGAAATTTTTAATTTAATTCAATCTCGATCAGAACCTTATTATATTTTTATACTTTTGTATTTATTTATTTATTCGTTCTTATACTTTACACTCCAAATTTTCGTATTATATCGTAAACTACTGCAGCCATCTATAATCATCTAGAAATCGACGATTTAAAAGTTAGCTTATTTATTTAAAAATGATCTATTATTTATTCGCTAAATAATTTTCCAGTAAGATTTTTTTAATATTGTTTCGTTCTTTCATCAACGTTTTATTTAATAGATTTAATATTCAAACAATTTTTAATATTCAAACAATTTTTAAATTTAATATTGTTAAACATTGATCGAAATTACTATCTATTTTAATATTAATTCATCATCCTTTGTCACTTTAATCCTTACTTTGATATCACATCAGTAATGTCGTTCATACGAATATCCTGAACCTATTGTTAGTTAATTTTTATATAATTAACAATTTAAATTTTAAATTTAAGTCAATTTCAGAAACTGACTACTTGGATAATATGCCAAAATTGATTTTAATTATATACTACATGGTACTTAACCCGTAATTAACAATTTCAACTAAATTAGTTTATCAGAACTTGTGTTGTACACGATCGTGCAATCACTCCGTTTAAAATTTCATCTAGTAACTTGTAATTACATTACACCTACGAAAGTTATGTCACTGTGTGTGCATTTAGAAATTTAAAAAAAATTATTCCTTTTTTTTTTAATTTTTTTTTTTAAACGAATGTTCGAATACTTTTGTGAGCCACTGACACACGGAAATTTCGCGCACCACTCGTGATTCACTTTTTCGACCAAGCGTTCGTGATCATGTCGGCCGCCTTCTCGGCGACCATCATGATCGCACCCACGGGATTGCTGTTCGGCACAGTCGGGAATACGGATGCGTCCGCGACTCGTACGTTCGATACGCCGCGCACACGTAGCTCCGGATCGACGACGGCTGTCCGATCGTCGTAAGCCCCCATTTTGCACGTCCCTGACTGATGATTCTCCGGCCCGGTGGCTGCTCTCACGTGACATTCCCAGTAAGCGTCGCTCGCGAAGTGATAACTGCGGCAATTTGTACCAGACGATGATTAACTATACACGTTATATCAGGGGGCTATTGTTCTAATGTGAGGTGCGTGTTTTTTTCTTTTTTTTCAACTTTGTCAGGGGATTTTTTGCAAAGAAACTGTTACACCTTTTGCAGCCAAATCGACAAGGTTCATTTGTACGTATTTCGAAATTTCTTTGGAATTTGTACGTATTTTAAAAATTTTTTCGGAGTTAAAAAGAATTGAAGTTAGTAGCACTGCGTTACTCTCGAAAACATAGTCTCACGGTGTCCATGATTCCGGCCATTCTGCTCGTCGGAAATTAAAAAAAAAAAAAACGTTCCTTAATTAGTATGAATTTGGCTGTAACAGGTACAAAAGCAAAAGAAAAAAGTCGGTAATTAAAAAAGTAGTTAAATTCGACTATCGATTTTTCCATGTTTTTGTTAAAACTTCGGAGGCCTAAAAAGAATATAAAAAATAAAATTTTTTGGTTGATTCTGGTAGGGACTATAGTCACACATGTACTAAATGCGTGCTTAAAATTTTGAGTCAATTGGTCAAGTAGATTTTGAGATATCATGAACACCGTTCTAAAAAACATAGTTTCCAGAAAAGTGCCTTTAAAGTTTAGTATTGCGGTAACAATGACATTAGTCGTCGCGTCCTTTAAACAACCATAACTTCGTCAATTTTAGGAGTTACAGAGATTCATTTTTGAAACTATGTTCTTCAAGAATATGCAAAAAAAAAAGAATCGATTATTTTCAAAATTTCACACTAGGATACCCCCATGAGACTTTAACGATTAATTATATTAATTGCCGAGATAGAAACAGATTGAGAATTTTTACCTCAATGGAGAGATTGGACTATATTAATTTTTTATTGTTCTGATTGTTGAGATCGCGAGCAAATGACCACTGTGAATGATCAAAATGATCGTGATTTAATTTTAACTGTGAGTGACTGATATAAACAACTGGAGCAATTGTATTCAATTGCATGATCTATTCTTTTTGTGTATTAACTATTGTTAATATATTCACATATTTGTTTGCCACATATACTTTTTATACATAAGTGTGCGTGTTAACCTCTTGCGTGGCACATCGGGAATTTTTTTTATCTCAAAATTGCAATATTTTCTCAGTGTTAAGTATATATAAATATAAGGGAACAACAAATAATAAATCTATTACTTCTATCCAGTGGTATACCGACGAGTTGTCAAAAAGAAAGCGACGAATTATTGTATACGGTTTGGTCATTCGTTATGGTCCGTGAATCAGCGCGCAAGAGGTTAAAAACGAATATGACATTATTAACAAAATAAGTATAATAAATTATGTAATAAACAAGTATAATAAATTAATAAACACGTATATCGAGAGCAAAGCCAATACTACATTAATTGAACAATATATTAACGACAAATATGATATATATATATATATATAAATAAACACGTCTGTCGAAAACAAAAAATAATATTACTAAAAAAACAAATATCACCACTAAAATACTATAATTACATTTGTCATTGGTAACAAACACGTGTGTCGAAAACAAAGAATAATATTACTAACAAACAAATATCACCACTAAAATACTATAATTACGTTTGTCATTGGTATATTAATGAACACACTAATTGACAAACGTAACATCGTTAATAAATCGGCAATTATTTATTAAGAACAAATGTGCACGTGTCGACGCGCGACAAATTTGTCAAGTCGCGGAAAACCGAAATACCAGCTCTCTGGCGTAAATAGCGAGCTCTACTACCCACTTGGTGCAAAGAGGATGAACACCGGTCTCCAGCCTCAGGTCCCACTTCCTCATGGTCCTCGTGCTGGTCAGCTCGATCGCCTTTCTAACACCCTCGACCAACACCTTCAAGTCCCTCGTGTCGACGAAGTAATTCGGATAGATCAGCGGCGGGCTGGTTGGGTCACCAGATCGGAGCCTCAAGTGACCCCTACTGCCCACGGTGACAGTGGTGGGCCTGACGACGATCTGCCGTCTGTCCGAGCAGAAGCCGATCGCCCCGTTCAGGCACTCGAATTCCAAGCCGGTCCTCGGGCAATTCGGTGAGAACCCATCGAAGAACATCTGAATATCAGGCACACCGGCGACCGCGTAGCTGCTCTCGAGGAACGCGGTCACCTGTGTCAGTCCTGTGCTGCTCAGGGGGCCGGTCCTCGTCTCCAGGTACTCGTTCACGCTGCTCATCGTCATGGGCTAATAATAATAATAATAATAATAATAATAATAATAATATATAATAAGTTATATAATATATATTAGTAATAATAATAATATAATAACAATAATAATATATATTAGTAGTAATAATAATATATATAATAATAATAATTATAATAATAATAATATATAATAAGTTATATAATATATATTAGTAATAATAATATATATAATAACAATAATAATAATACATATAAATTTATAATTTACAGAATATAATTTAATAAATTAATATTATAATTAATTCTAAATATTATATAAAAAATTAAAATATATAGAATTAAAGATCAAAAAATTTTATTAACAGTTATATATATATATATATAAATTAAAATTAATTTAATTATTTAATTAAATATATTATATTTATATATATATATATATATAATTATAATTTATATATATAATATTTAAAAAATTATATTTACATATACAAATTATATATATATAAATTATAAAAATAAAAATTATATTTATATATATATATATATATAAATTATAAAATTATAAATATATAAACTAAATTGTAAAAAGGCAATTTTGACAAAATATTCATATACGATTTATTTATATTATTACTTGGACTTTAGTTTAAAGTATAAACCTCGTAAGCGGTGTCCCTGATACTGAAGTGAACCGCCACGGACACATGATTGTGAAGGTTCCTCCCCACGGGCAGATCCTTCACCACGTGCAGGCCCAATTTGGTCAGGTGTTCCTTCGGTCCAATCCCAGAGTTTAGGAGGATGTGAGGCGAGCCGATCGCCCCTGCCGACAGAACCACTTCCTTGTCCGCCTTCACGATCCTCCTGTACCCATCCTTGTCGATCAGCTCCACGCCGTAGGCCTTGTTCTGCCACTGGTTGATCAGAACTCTCGTCACCTGCGCGTTTATCAGCACTCTGAGGTTCGTTCGACCGTGGACAGGCCTCAGGTAGTTTCGCGAGGTCGTGCCACGGACGCCGTTGTCGGTGGTCATCGGGGCCACCATGAAGCCCGTCTGCGTGTATTCTTTAAGCCTCGACGTTCTGTAGCCCAACTCGGTGGCAGCTTTCAGGAGTTCGTCCGCGAACGCCGGTTTGTCCGGGTAGTATTGGATCTTCATTGGCCCTGGCACCGGGACTGTTCTCTCCTTGTCGGAGAGTATCTGTGGGTCGATCGGGTCCTCCGCTTGTTCGAAGTAGTGCGCGATCTCGTCGTAGGACCAACCGGTGGCGCCCGATCGGGCCCAGCTGTTGTACACCTCCGGGTGACCGCGGGTATACATCATCCCGTACATCCCCCCGGTGCCTGACATCATCCTCCCTCGCGGCCACGTGCACACTCCCCCGGTTTCTGGACAGCACGAAGATTTTCTTTTTTTTTTTTTTCTTACTTTGGGAATTTTATATATTTGAAGTATAGTATATTGGGAATTTTATATATTTGAAGTATAGTATAATGGGAATTTTATATATTTGAAGTATAGTATACTGGGAATTTTATATATTTGAAATATAGTACATTATAGTATATTGGGAATTTCATATATTTAAAGTATAGTATATTAGAGTATATTGGGAATTTTATATATTTGAAGTATAGTATATTAAAGTATATTGAGAATTTTATATATGTGAAGTACAGTATGTTATAGTATATTGGGAATTTCATATATTTAAGTATAGTATATTAGAGTATATTGGGGATTTTATATATTTGAATTATAGTATTATAGTACATTGGGAATTTTATACATTTGATGTATAGTATATTGGGAATTTTATATATTTGAAGTATAGTATATTATATTATATTGAGAATTTTATATATTTGGATTTATATAGTATATTAAAGTATATTGAGAATTTTATATGTGTGAAGTATAATATGTTATAGTATATTGGGAATTTCATATATTTGAAGTATAGTATATTACATTATATTGATAATTTTATATATTTCGATTTATATAGTATATTAAAGTATATTGAGAATTTTATATCCGTGAAGTATAGTATGTTATGGTATATTGGAAATTTCATATATTTGAAGTATAGTATGTTATAGTATATTGGGAATTTTATATACTTGAAGTATAATATATTATAGTATATTGGGAATTTTATATATTTGAAGTATAGTATATTAAAGTATATTGAGAATTTTATATATGTGAAGTACAGTATGTTATAGTATATTGGGAATTTCATATATTTAAAGTACAGTGTTTGAGTATATTGGGGATTTTATATATTTGAATTATAGTATATTATAGTACATTGGGAATTTTATATATTTGATGTATATTATATTGGGAATTTTATATATTTAAAGTATAGTATATTATATTATATTGAGAATTTTATATATTTGGAGTATAGTATATTAAACTATATTGAGAATTTTATATGTGTGAAGTATAATATATTATAGTATATTGGGAATTTCATATATTTGAAGTATAGTATGTTATAGTATATTGGGAATTTTATATAATTGAAATATGTGTGAAGTATAGTATATTATAGTATATTGGGAATTTTATATATTTGAAGTATAGTATATTAAAGTATATTGAAAATTTTATATATTTGAAATATAGTATGTTATAGTATATTGGGAATTTTATATATTTGAAGTATAGTATATTAAAGTATATTGAGAATTTTATATATGTGAAATACAGTATGTTATAGTATATTGGGAATTTCATATATTTAAAGTATAGTATATTAGAGTATATTGGGGATTTTATATATTTGAATTATAGTATATTATAGTATATTGGGAATTTTATATATTTGAAGTATGGTATATTAGGAATTTTATATATCTAAAGTATAGTATACTGGGAATTTTATGTATTTGAAGTATAGTATATTGGGAATTTTATATATTTGAAGTATAGTGTATTATAGTATATTGGAAATTTGAAGTATATTATGTTACAGTATATTGGGAATGTGTGAGATAAATATGTGTAATATCGTTACATATTAATGTAAATATATGAGAATCAATTTTTTAAAAATACGCCGAGCATGTAGATCTAGGTTACCTAAACAGGCGGTTGGATGAGGCTCCGTAGGCTCCGTTTTGAAATTCCAATCCAAAGTCGAGTTGACCGCGTGAACCGCCAGTCCGGGAATAGAAGTCATCGACGGTTCTTCCGGTCCTGCTTCGATCAGGAGAACCCTCCACCAGGGATTGTCGCTCAATCTCCTGGCAATTATAGGCCCGGCAACTCCACCGCCGACTATGATAAAGTCGAACCTACGGTTTTATAGTAAAAACACCACATTAGATGAATAACATTGTAGTATATAAAAATTGTTCAAATTTGACAATTTTGACATTCGCATTTCATAAAATGAAATAAGTAGAGGAAATACCAAATAACAAACTGTTTTATTAAACTATCAGATAATTTGTAACTCGCGTTTGAGCAGAATTAAATAAATAATTATTAAGTAATAAACTTAAATAAACTTTTATTAAAATGTTAGAAAATTTATAATTTACTACTATAATTTACCATATGAAATTAAATAAATAGAAGATTCGATAATTAAAAAGAATATTAGAATTAATTAGATTAGAATATTAGATAATTTGTAATTCACATTTGAGCAAAATTAAATAAATAACTAATAGGAGAATTATTAAGTAGCCGTTAAGACCGTGTTACTAAAATATTAGAAAATTTATCATTCACTAATTTATATAAAATTAAATAAATAGAAGATTTATTAAATGATAGACTGTTATTCAAGTGTTATTCACTGATATAATTTACTATATAAAATTAAATAAATAAAAGATATGTTAAACGATAAAAGATATGTTAAACTATTTTCTTGAAGTATTAGATAATTAGATAGAATATTATTATTAACTACATAGAATATTAGATAATTTGTAATTCACATTTGAGCAAAATTAAATAAATAGAAAAATTATCAAGCAATAGGCTGTTTTGTTGAAATATTAGAAAATTTATCATTCACTGATATTTAAATTTACTATATAATATTAAATAGAAGATTTATTAAATGATAGACTGTTTGTTATTCAACTGTTATTAATTAATATAATTTACTATATAAAATTAAATAAATAGAAGATATGTTAAATGATAGACTGTTTTGTTGAAGTATTAGATAATTAGATAAAATATTGTAATTAATCACATAGAATATTACATAATTTGTAATTCACATTTACTAAGTGATAGATTGTTTTATCAAAGTATTAGATAATTTGTAATTCACATTTGAGCAAAATTAAATAAATAGAGAAATTATCAAGCAATAGGCTGTTTTGTTAAAATATTAGAAAATTTCACTGATATTTAAATTTGCTATATAAAATTAAATAAATAGAAGATTTATTAAATGACAGACTGTTATTCACTGATATAATTTACTATATAAAATTAAATAAATAGAAGATATGTTAAATAATAAACTGTTTATTCAAATGTTATTCACTGAATTTACTATATAAAAATTAAATAAGTGGAAGATTTATTAAATGACAGACCATTCGTTCGGCACTTCCTCTTTGCCAAGTCTCCGGCAAGGGTCCGTCAGATCGCACGTAGACGCGATCAGTTTCTCGAACAAGCTCGTGAAAGATGTTTTCACGCCGCACTTGGACGCCATGTACGACGTATCTTTGAAGCTGCAGGAGCAACATGACTTCGTTTCGTTGTTTGTATCCAATTCGCTAACCTGAAACTAGTTAACTGTACGTCTTTAATTAAATCGCTTTCACTTTCTACGCTCGCAATTTCTAGATGCTGCGATATTTTTTTTTTTTTTTACGAGCAGCATTTTTACGAATTAACTTTAATTGTCGGTTATAAATAATTTAATTGTCAGGGGCTAAAAGTAACAATAAGAGAAATTATTATTATTATTGTTGTTGTTGTTATTATTATTATTATTATTATTAGGAAGAAATTATTGTGAATTTACGAAAAATTATTATTACGAAGAAATTATCGTGTAAAAGTAAAACTGAAGCTGAAAGTTTATTATTATTAAACGGAAGACATTAATTTTAAAGTGTTTTATCTTTTCTTTTCTTAATTATATTCTCGAAGATGTGATTCCGCATAAAAATCCGCGATATAATTATTTCATTAATTTCTGAAAGTAATCATCAAATCGAAATGAAATAATCAACTGAAGTGATCAATCAAATCGAAGTAATTAAAAGGTCCAAAGCATCGTCCTTGAGTGAATCCATATTTCCGGATAACTTTTAAAACCGAAAAAAATTCTCCCTCCCGATTTGAGATTCGAGAATTGATTCTCGAACGAAATTTCTCTTGAGAGGCAATGATTTTTCGTAAGAGAAAAAAAAAAAAAAATCGTTAATGATTGACGAATAAAAAATAATTAATAATTACGATTAATTATTAATCGTAATGATTCTGTTTACCGGAAGTCGAAACGCGATCGCCAATTGCATCAGGAACAAGAGCAAGAGGTCGTGAAATCGCATTTTGTCCAATCAGAGGCCGGTGTCACCTGCGAACAGAAAATGATAGAATTCAAGTGACTAAATAAAAAAAACTTTCTACAGTTTTCTATAATTTTCAACATCATTCGTTCAATTGATATTTTCAATCTATTCTTCTTTTTTTTTCAGTTCGTTAATTACACAAAATTTACGATTCATCTATTGTTTCAATTAGGATAAATTATAACTAACAGTATATTTATTAGCAGATTATAATTAGAGAATAGAGAAGAATTATAATTGATAGTAGATTTTGCATTTTGTAGCCAATTTCCACAAAGTTCTAAAAAGAACGGCCAACAAAATTTATTTGTTTTCTATCATTCAAACGACAAAATAAAATTCGATTTTAACAGCAGGGGTTGAATGAATCTTATTAGTTTGAGTTTATTAGTCGGATGATGATTTTTCGAAGTTGATTTCAATTGTCAATATCAGCAGACATTGCCATTGTTAGCTTGAGACATTAAATTACTATTGTGCACTATTACGTATTAAATTACATATTAGTAAATATTATATATTACAATATTATATATTACATATTAGTAAATGTTACATAAATCAAATATTATAAAATATTATAAAATATTACATAAATCAAATATTATAATATTGCTATACTGCAATTACTACAAAATAATTCGTATGTCAGTCCTTCATTATAGGATGCAACAATTAGTAATTATTATTCATTGTAGTATACAATAATATTCGTAAAGAAAAAAGAGACAAAAAGTACGTTGTACATTTTAGAAATATACAAATTGATAAATTTGCGTGACGAAGTGACTTGGATTCTCATTTCCTTCACAACTGAGCCACATTTGAATTTTCATATGCAACGTTCTGTGTCTGTTTCTTATTTAGCTAATTTAATACTAACTTTTCGAGAATCTTGCTTTACAATAATGGTTCACAGTTCAATCGAAGATGATCAATCAAGAATTCTATAACGAAATATCTTTAATTTCAAATGCTCTACATCGAAAAGTCTCTCCTTGCATCGAATATCACTCCTTGATATGATCGCGTAAATAACGTACGACACGATAAATCAGACATACTACATGAATACGTGAATTATAACTTTGGTTTCTACATGTTCGAATCACCGCGATATGTATTGTATATATGTGTGTGTGTGTGTGCATGCAGACATACTTTCGGTGTGAAAGTCTGGACAGCTGACGAGCAATTAGTCGTGTCTGGGCTCGTGAATAAATTCCGGCGAGCAACCGACTTTCGAAAGTTCGCGAGAATTTGCTTTTAACCGATGATGAATGGGTTTGAAAGCGAGTTTGATAGCGTTTCGCGATATTGTTTACACTGGAACAGCATTATAAATTATTAGCCCCCGTTTTTTCCAATTGGATCGCACAATATAATTTTTCGTATCGTTTATAATATATTTTTGTTATATTAATTAATATATAATAATATTAACGTAATTTAATATATTATATTATTTATATATTTTTATTAATATTTTTATATTATTACTTCTATTTCTTTTTTTATTTTTATTATTTTATTGGTATTTTTATCTTTGCTACATTATTTTTGGGTTATTTGTACTTTTATTTTTATTATTTTATTATTTTTATCTTATTTTTTATTTTTATTATTTTATTATTTTATCGTATTTTTTATTTTTATTATTTTATTTGTACTTTTATTTTTACTATTTTATTATTTTTATCTTATTTTTTATTTTTATTATTTGTACTTTTATTTTTACTATTTTATTATTTTTATCTTATTTTTTATTTTTATTATTTTATTTGTATTTTTATTTTTATTTTTTATTTTTATCTTATTTGTATTTTTATTTTTATTATTTTATTATTTTTTATTTTTATTTTATTTGTATGTTTATTTTTATTATTTTTATCTTCTTTATTTTATTATTATTTTCATCTTATAAAAATCTTCTTTTATGTAAATTGTCTTAAATTTGTCGTAAATGTTTTTGTTGGCTAGACAAATAAAATTGTTTTAACGCTGAATAACTCGTGTTTATTCGAATCTTTGATTTCTCTTACCGGATTTGTGTAATTTATGATAATAGCATTGATAATGATATACAATAATAACAATAATCATGTGATATTGTATAATAATACCAATAATGCAACATAATTATATATATATATATAATTTATTAATTTTTCTATAAATTACCTTTAATTATAAATTATAATTAATACTTCTAACAATTTAATTCAATTTTTCTATAATTTATTATTATTATTATCCTGTAAATTCAATTTTTCTAAATTATTATAAATATAATTATTATTAATTAGTAATTAACTATTTATCAAGCAATTATTTACTCGGATAAAGAGCACACAGACTTTAAAATCAGTCAAATTTTAGAATCACACAAATGGGCAGAACAAGCAGACTTTAGAAACAGTTACATCAGAATTTCTCAAACTTTCTATTCTTAGGCTAGATTATAATCACTCAGATAAGAAACGCGTAAATTTTAGAAGTAGTCAAATTAAAATCTCTCGAGCTTTTAAATCGCTCAGGATGGGAAACAGATTTTAGGATCGGTTAGAATCAGGATCTCTTAAACTTTAGAATCACTCGCAGTCAGACGAGGAAAGCACAGATTTCAGAGTCAGATTCACTCAAATTTTCAAATTTTACGATCACTCAGAAACACACATACATTATAATCAAAATATAATACAGGTCTCTCTGGTCGTGAAAAATCGCATAGATTTCACGCAATAATTAAAAAGTATCTACCTAGAGATACGATTGGCCCATTAAGTATCGCAACAGATACTGTATTTTGATTATTTTTTTTTTTTTTTTTTTTCTATTTTTACGTATCACGCGTGTTTCTATGAAATTTCTCGATAATCAAATTTCCCATAGATTCACAAAAGTCCGCAATATTTAAACTATCGTTATTTATAACCGTGTTAAACTATCGCAAGTTCACTACATGTGCTCGAGTTTCCCTTTCACCATGACGTTCAACAACCCCAGACAACCTTCGCGTAAAATAGAATCCACGTGCGTGCGTTACCCCTCTGTCTATTTTAAAGTCCGACTTGTTGCGCAAATGTTCATGTATTGCTAGTTGTAAATTCGATCGAGAGTATTATAAATATCATTAATCATCCGGCGTGTCGTATTGTTTCTTTTTCTTTTTTTTTTTTTTTTTTTTTTTTTTTTTTTTTTTTTTTTTTCTTTTTTTTTTGTATTTATAAAACTTTCGAAATCTGGATATGTCGGTATCTGGTGTTTCGATTCTGCTCTTTGTAAATCTTTTAATATATCTGGATACATGATTAGTGTTCAATTCAAAAAGAAAATAATTAACTTGCTCCTATGAATTTAAATATTAATATATACATATAAAACTATATAATACTATTTTAATATATATATGTAATAGTTACTTATATATGTTTACTATATATATAGTTTATGTATATATATATATATATTTGAAAAACTATATAATACTATATTAATATGTATATATACATATGTATAAATTAAAATATTATATTACATTATATTATATTTAAAAAACTATATAATACTATATATATATATATATATATATATATATATATATATATATATATATATATATATATATATATATATTGAAAAAGCTCATATTAATTATTCTTATAATAGCAATATATAATGATTATACATTTGTATATATAGTATAATAATTATTATAATGTATAAACTTGCAGAAGTAAATATAATATAGTAGATCAATTTTTTTCTGTTTTAATTGAACATTCATCATATATCCAAGTAATTGAATTAAAAAAATTTATGAAAATTGAAGTTGATCAGCTTGAGCTCCTTAGAGAGTCATGCATTAATTATAGTAATTATTATAGAACATATATAATTAATATATAAGAATTGGATTAAATTAGATTATCAATATAAATTGAAAATTTAAATACTTGAAAAACTGATTATTTATTAGACCATGTCAACAACGTTGGTAGCACCTACGCATTCTCTCTCTCTCTCTCTCTCTCTGTATTTATACTTTGTCTAAATATAAAGCGAAACAAAATTAACTCCGCGTTTCTCGTGTATGTAACAGTAGAACTATGTACTTTATGGTGAAATGATGATGATGGCCAATTTATAACTTTCGTTAGACCTCTCACAGGTGTGAAACAGTGTGTTTTTTTATAATTTGCAATTTCTATTTGAATCAAAATTCATATCGATTTTTGCTTGGTATATTGAATACAAGAATTGATAATTGAATATAATATATTAAATTCCATTCGCCAATTTGTCAAAATTAATATTGATTTCTGTTTAGTATATTGAAGAAATGGCAATTTTTTGGAATTTACAATTTCTACTTGAATCAAAATTAATATCGATTTCTGCTTGGTATATT